ATGCAAAATGATAATGATAATTTATAGCATGAAATATTTTATTAATCAATAATTTTTTATAAGTAAACTTTCTTGAAAAATGTTATTCATTTTAGTGCATGATATTAGATTATAGCATAAAATGATAATAGCTGATAGTAGTGATAATGATAGCACAACTGATAATAGTTTAAACATGCATTTTTTGAATTAAACTGAACAATATTAATAATTAAGGTTATTTCATGATAGTGATATGACATTTCATGATAATGATATGACATTTCATTAGTGCTATCATCATATCACAATCATAATAGATATTTGGCTGGAGATATCAGATAAATACTTATGCTAATAATTTTTCTCATTTAAATATTTTGCTTTTTAAATTCACAGTATTATTCCTGTCAATTGATTTGTCACAAAATGAAAAAGAAATTTCAACTAACACAACCGATGTCCTTCCTGTCTCTTCGAGTCATTTTCTTTTTTTTTTCTCCCCTTGTTTATCCTTTCTTCCCGCCACTATGTCATGCAATTTTTTTTTTTTTTTTTGTTTAATAATTCAAAAAAACTTTTAAAAAATAAAAATAAAATTAAAATTCGTATTGAAATTTATTCAAAATAAAAAGAAATTTAACTTTTATTGGTTATTTTGATTTTAGCTTTTAATAAAGACTAAAAAAAAAGAAAATTTGAAAGATAAAGTTTCTCTTCTTTCTTTTAATTTAAAAGATAACTTTGATAAAATTTAAAAACAAATTTTAAATTTTGCTTATTTTCCCTTTCATTTATCACTCAATGATTTATAAAAATGAAAAGAAAATAATCAAAATTTAAAGTTTTACTTTTGGATTCTATTGGAGTTATTTTTTCTCATTTAAATCCACTACTTTACAATTTTTTTTTCGTTATCTTTACATTTATCACTTCGTTAATTATCACATGCATTAATTAATGCAAATTAATTTATCAATAAATAAAAAACAAAAAAATCACGCAATAAAATGTGAGAAAAAATAAGATAACAATGGTTATTTGAATAGCAAATTGATTACTTTTAAATTTAAATTTGAAAAAGCTTTTAGTTTCTTCTTTTTCCGTTTGTTTTCTCTATCAATCAGTCGTCAAAAATATGCTTTGTTTTGGGTGAGAAAAATTGAAAATAAAATTTGAAGAATGTGAAATTTTTACAATTAGACGTTTGATTGAATGGAATATTGTCATTTATCATTTATGAATAAAATGAAAATAAGCGGAAAATGCTTTTTGTGAAATTTTAAAAATCAAACGAATGATTGAATGGAATTATTATCATTTATCATTTATTAATTATCATTTATCATTTATTGATTATCATTTATGGGTGAAACGAAATTAAACGAAAAGTGCTTTTTATTTGTTTTCTGCGTACAAATTTTTGGAAAATTTCATCAAATTATTTGAAATTTTTGTGAAATTACTTGAAATGAAATGTTAAAAAAGAGGGAAGATTGTAGGGGAAATAGTTTCTAATAATTATTTCCTGCATAATTATTCCTATTAATTAAACTAAAGTTTTGTAAATTTAGAACAAATTTTAATTTAATTTAATTTATTTACAATAATCATAGCTTTAATAATCATTACGAGAAAGGTTGTGCATTGAAATTTTCCATAAAAAAAAAATTAAAATTAATTAAAGTAATGAAAAGGAATAGAATGGC